TATTCATACCTCTCCTTTTTTTTTCTCAGGGTATAAAAATAATATTTTCACCACAAAAATGTATTTATAGTAGGAAGATCCTGGTGCTCATGGAGGCCCAGGATCCCAGCTTGCCTCCAGGTCTTGTACTTCCTCTGTAGATCACATGATGTGCTTAGCCACACTTACACAAAAACCAATATATATTCAGCTGCACCAATCAGGTGGTCTGGTGAATAATACAACCTGTTCAAATTGATTTAGCAATTTATTTGATTTAGTAATTTTGTTATATTTTAACTAGATATGTAGGCTCTTGCCACAGTTTGCAGTTTTCACAAAACATAATTGCAAGATACAAATCAAGGAGAGCTGTTTTTGATTACAGCTGTCATTTGCTGGGTACCACGTGGGTATTTTGCAATAAGAACATAAAATAAGAACAGGTTCACCTGTTGCTACATTTCCTCAGTTACATTCTTCCTCTTGCTCTAACAAACATCAGAACTTTACTATTCTTGACCTCTTCAAAAATGTGTAAAAAAGCAGTAGAAAATTCTTACACTAGGCTGGAAAGGCAATCAATTGCATCCATAACTGGAAAGTTTTTGAACTCTCTCAGCAACAGAAGTTTCGTGGGAGATTGTTTTCATCAGAAGGACGAATAAAAGATGAGTTGGCAGGTGAATCAAATAGAAATATTTATTACTAGCATGCACTGAGAATGACACTAGAATGCTTCTAAAAGCCTGACTGGGGGGAAAAAAAAATAAATGAAAAAGCTATTTAAAAATTAACTCTCACTCCAGAAAAGGAAATAAGGATAACCAGATAAACAAGCACACCATGTGATTAAAAAAACATACAAAAATTGAAGCCAAAACAAAATTGAAGCCAAAATGAAATTGAAACCCGTTTTCCTTTATGTCACATGGTCACAGAAGGGCAACATTGTCCCATTGTTTCTGTGGGTTTTACAGGGTTTTTTGGGGTTTTCACCACAGAAACTCAGATTATTGGCCAGTGCCATCTGCTCTACTGCAGCCAAAGATTTCAGAGACAGAGGGCTCACCACAAAGTCGTAATAAAGAAATTCCTTTTTCAGCAGCATCAGGGTTTTACTATGATTGCCATAGTTTCAATAATACAGCAATTATCTCTCATTCATAAACTGAACTGTGCAAGTGTGCCCGTTTTGGGAATTCACAGGGGATTCCACAGCAGAGAAAACCCCTGGCAAAGAGCAGGTTCCTGAATGCATGGCATATCAGAATTAGGGCTGGGTGCACTGATTTTATTTGTTTTACATATGCTTCCAAACAGTCAGAAATAACTATTCTAGTTTTTGGGTTTTTTTTCTGGTTGTTTGTTTTTTTTTTTAATAGGATGATGCATCATGAGCCCCAACCCTGGAAGATTTTAATAATGATCTATTATTTCCTCTGAAAATCTGCCCAAATGACCAGATTTCACTTCTAATAGAGTGAGAGCACAGAAAAAATCTGGTTAGCAAAAACTCCAAATGGTTTGAGATCAGAACCCACAACTTTGCCCTGCTCCACCGCTGCCCAGCATGTCAGTCCTTCATTTGGGTTCCACTTATTGTCTGGTTATTTTATTTTCATGGTAAGTGGTTAGAAACAGACTCAAACAAATCCCAGGCTGAAGTTTGGGATGGCATGAAAAGTGAAGCTGGTTTAAGATGATTACTTTTATCAATAACAATGAGTACAAAGTTATTCCTCTGTCCCCCAGCACTTCAGATGGGGGTTACTTGCTGTGTTAATTCTGCATTGCTGTGACAGCAGTAAACAGTGGGAGAAGCTTTTCTATGGAATTGTGGATTTTTCACATGTGCACCTGGCTGAAACCACATCTGGTTGCAGCTTGGAATTCCCTCAGCCTCCTCTGTGGAAGAAAGTTATGTCTCCCTTTTCATATTGCTCTAAAATTACAATGTTGTCCCTTTTTCTTGATGTAGTTGCTTGGAACAATAATCAGAAAATGTGATACCATGGAGTAACAGAAATAGGAGAGAGAGAGGCATGTGGCAAATGTGACAGCAAGAATACACAGAAAATACAAGTTTTGGTAAGTTGCACCCAGTGCAGGCAACTATGTCCAGAAAAAAAAGAACTGGAGATAAAAGGAAAGGGTAAAGGGTGGGGAAACCCTCATTTTACTCAAGAATTCCAGCTGACAATGAGTCTGGCACAAGACATTTCTGTGAACAATGCATCCCCATTCGTCCAGGAGCATTCCAATGCAATTCTCAGACTAGAAATTTGTCCAAATGAAATTGTTTTAACCTAGGCCACAGCGTGGCCCTGGGGCAGCCAGGGCACTGCAGCTGGAGCTGCACAGCAGCAGGAGGAGACACCAGGGCTGTGGCTGAGCCAACACTTCCCCAGCTCTTGGAAGCATCTTTTCCTCTTGTGCAACTGCAGAGCCTGTTCAGGAGGCTCAGGCAGGTGTGTCCTGGCTTCACTGACATCTTCTTGTACCTTCTTGTACCTCACAGTGCCAGAGACCGTTCCACAAAGCATAACCCCTGAGGGTACTTGGGCCATTCAAGCTTGATCTTGAAAAAGAATTCATCAAACTCTTGCTCAGATTACCCCATTCATAAGTTTGAAGTACTAACAAATCACACAGAATTTTTAAGATGTGTGTAGGTGGTTGGCGTTTTTTTCTCTATTTTCAAGAGCATCTGAAATTTATGTTATGAAAAGAAAGAGAGAGGAGAGACTGGTCACAGCACAGCAATCCCTTCGCAAATCTCAGGTGACATCGTCTGGCCAAGCCTGGCTCTGCAGGTACCAAAGCAAGGATTATGCAGAAATGCACTGAAACGGGAATTCTGCTTGTTAAGAAAATCAGCACAGAAGTGTGGAGTGTGAACTAGTGCCGTGAGAGCCGCCTCAAAGCAGCCAAGTCCGTTTCAGAGGGGACAAACCAAAGCCACTGAACACAAAGAGAAAGGAGCACGCCAAGGCTCCACGCTGGGGGCTCAGAACCCTTGGCACTGGCAGCAGGAGGCTGCCCCTAAAGCAGTCACCTGCAGGCAGGAAGAACTTCCACAGGGAGAACCCCTGGGCTGCTTTGGGAGAAGTGCAAAGCCAGAGTCCGAACTCACCTACCCACCCCAGAACAAGTTTCCGTATGATTAGCTCCGAAATTTCAGCAGGGAGGCATAGCAAGTGTGCTTTATGACCCATTCATCTGCTGCCCATAAAATTTTAAACACTGCCTGATGACCACAGTTTCCCCTTCTGCACTGCCTAATTAAATAAAAAAAACAAAACTCATCAAGCCATGCAGTTTTTTTCTCTTTACGAAAAACGCCAGATAAGTTCCCTTAACCCAAATAAAAACCATAATTATTCTTCCCTGTCCCAGCTGCTGGCTCACAGGCACCTTGTTCCTCGAGGATGTTAAAGAACTTCAGTCACAGCACTGCAGTGCCAGGCCCAGCTGCAGCAGAGGTGCCCTGTGTGCCCTGGGCTGCTGGCACGTGATGTCCCCGAGCCACCAGCACAGGAATGATCTCACCCAGCGCAGAGATCCAACAGGAGCAGCCTGAGCCAGGCCTGCAGGATAGACACAAGGAGCTGCTAAAATGGCAAGTGTTCCACTGGACAGGGACACTCTGAAGGTCAATGTCCTCACCACAGATACAAGAAGGGAAAACATTTTTTCATGTCACACCACATTTTGTAACCTTGAGAGGAATTGACACCTGGGATTCTTCCCTTTCTACTTGCTGTGGAAGTCCTGGGCCTGTGGATGTACAGAGCACACAGCAGCAGTGTGACAAACCTGACAAAACCCCCAGGTGTGCACAGCTCTGCTCTGGTTCTCATTACAGCTACAGCTCTGAACAGAACCTCTGCTCAACTTAACATCAAAAAACTCTTCCTCAATTTTAGACAAGTATCTTCTGGGAGAATTTTTTTTTTTTTTTTTTACCTCTCCAAGAACAGATAAATGCTCAGAATTAAAGGGAACAAAGTTAAGCCTCAAAGACTAAATACATGAACGCTTACCTCGCTACTGGTCTATTGCAATTCAAGGATTTATTGTTTTTGTAGGTGTTGTAGGGGGGGTTGCATGATTTTAAGACAATTACAACATTTTGAATGTTACAGTGATGCTTTAACTGCTGATGAACATGTACATATCAAAGTTAAAATAACTTTCTCTAAGTGTCAAATTAACCAAAGCCCAGTTTGGATATTTTGGACAGTGAACTCATGTCCCCTGTGCTAGCTGGTTAATTTAATGGAATAAATAGTGTCAAGATGTCTTTACTTTCATTTATTAAGAGTTGTTTTTGTTGTGGAAAGCCCCCAGAGCTAGAAACACTTCAGCAAACTCAAACTGCTTACTTCTACCCCAGGTTGAATATTTGTGCTTTCTGACCTGGAACCTGGCATATTTCCCTAGGAGCTACATTCCAGTGCAGCAACCAAAACATAGCCTTTCATCCATTTAATAAAGACTGGTTTTAAGTATGAAAGGAGTATTTTAACTTACAAAAAAAATTGATCCCCCCTCACCAACTACAAAAAAAGTTACAAAAAAAAGACCCTCTCCCAACTCCAACTACATTATGGATGTCTAAATACTTATATGTAAATAAGCATAATAATTTAGGAGTTCTGAAGTTGTATTTGAGCTCAAGGTGTAAGTTTTAGGGAAGAAAATAATATTTTTCCTAGTATTTACATCCATGCCTAACCTCAGATATTTTATTTAAAAGCCATACTGCCCATAATTTTAAGACACAGAATTTGTGTGACTACTGTTGACTATTACTTCTCTTACTGCTGAAGAACATAAAAGGTAAGCAGAACTATCTAACCTAAACCAGAATACCTGAAATGATGTTTAACCCAACAGATTTTTAATTTTGCAGGAGTTGCATCTAAATGTTCTCAGAAATCTTCACATCATTGAGCTTGCAGGAGCAGGTTAATGCAGTTAGTTTGCTCACATAAAAAATTTTGACTCTCCAAGTCACAAAATACTATTTTTATTAGTGCCGGTTAGTTCTGATTGCACTAATTAATGAAGCAATAAAGAGATGAAAATACCCAGAAGAGTATGGTGTACACATTACTGAGAATTTGAAGTGACCAAATCTGGAACTTTGTTAAAATACATTGGATAGAAGACACAATTGAATTGCTGTCTATTCAGGCAATTTCAGGGTGCATTAAGTTGTTGAAATCATACAACTTACTGTGGTTGTAGCAGGAAAATTCATCACAAAACATTTCTCGGTGTGCACACTGTCACAGTTCAGCACAACCTTTAATTTCTGCAGTGACTTTAAAACATTATTATTTCCTGAGTAAATATGCACACCTAATACTGCAGAGAATTGAGTCTGAAAGGAATGGCAAGAAAATGCAATATTCCAGCACAGTGTATACTTTATTCTGTTTGGGCAGCTCTTCAGAGCTGAAGATCCCTCAGGCTCGTTGGCAGAATCTCCCTCATTTTGATCAGGTACAGTTCTTTTGGATCACCTGGTCCCAGCTGTCAGAGATCACGAGAGGAGGGGTGACAGTATTGTCACCTTGTTCTTATGTGAGCATGGACATGGAAATGACTCTCAGTGCTCACGTAGCTCCAGGTGCTCAGCTGTCTGATGGGGTGAATGACACAGGCCAGGTGCCACCGCAGCTGGCTGCTCCTGTCCCCCGTGTGACAGCTGTGACAGAGGGTGGATGTCCAAGGGCTCTGTGGTAAGAATCCATAGCTGTCATCTCACAGTCCTGGGCTATCAACTGAGAATATAAAACTCGGTGCTCTGATAACAATGCCAAGTAACCCCTTGCTTACCTGAAGGTTGTCTTCGACACGCGCTTGGCATGTCAGAGAATCGGCTTTGCCTTTCCAGAGTCCTCAGACATTTCCACATGGGTGGACTTTTCACCCTGGGGTTTTCTCATCCTCATTAGTCCTAGTTCACACTCATTTTGGGGATGGGGAGGAGTTTCTGGCAAATTCCTGTCTTTCCCTGTGTGCTTGCCCAGGGCAGTGGTAGAGTCACCATACCTGGAGACGTTTAAAGCCATCTGGATGTGGTGCTTAGGGACATGGTTTAGTGGTGGCCATGACAGTGCTGGGGTAACAGCTTGATTAAATCTTAAGAGATCTTTATCAACTTAAATGATTCTGAGTGGATTGCCTTCACTGACAGCAACAAATTCTGGGGAATATGTAGCTGAATCCATAAGTTGTATTTTAAAAAATCAACCAACCAAACCAAATCAAACTTTTACTTAGTTTAACACTATCCTTTTTCACCATAGAGAACTGTAGTGCTGTATGTAAAAACTGAGCAAACCTACCATGGAATAGGATAAAACTTTCTGATTTTCAGACACGTTCCCCGAAACAATCACTACCAATTTGCAGGTGCAGTTACAACCTACACACAACAATATCTCCAGGAGCTACACTTGAAAAAGTGCCACAGTGTCTTTCAAGAGATGAGCTGCGTATTGCCAGTGAATGGTGAAAGGAACAGAACTTTCTATTTATTTTATGGCTAGGCGCTTGCCGCTTTTCTACACTACTCTGGCAGCAGCATTTTGGCTCTACATTAAATGTTTTCTTGACTGTCTTCATGAGACAAGTCTCAGTTCACATTCCTTTTGATAATGGCTTAGCAACTTTGTGCCTCTGGCCACACTGCTAAGTAATTTCTCAATTAAGAGATAGCTGAGAAATGCTTTCTCACTACTTACAGCTAAATTTCAAGCACTGAAGCAGCTGTAACTGATCCCACAAGAGGATTTGTAGGAGCAAACAGAGCCCAGTGAGGCCAGAAGAGTCCAGGGATGCTGCTGAGGAGCTCTCCCCTCCTCACCCCCTTGCCCTGAAGGCAGAGCAGCCCTGTCCTGAGGTTAACATGGGCCTGACCATCCCTGCCTGCCTTTCCTGGCAGAGGAAATCTCAGTCCCACAGCACCAGCCTGGGGGATGAGGGCAGGGCAGCCTTCCAAACAAGCTGGACCCCAGCACCAAGAACTTCAGCAACCTCTGCAGCATCTGGCACAAACCCCAAGTCTGCCTGCAGCCCTTACCACCCAGCGCTCAGATATCCTGAGGTAAATCCTGGTTTGCTGGTATCAAGGGGAACATCTACTCATTGAATCTGCCTTCAGGTTGAATGGCTGGATGCATTCCAAAATGTACTAGACAAAATAATAACAGTAAATTCAGAAGGTTTTTTTAAGGATGCATTTAGCGAGTGCAATCGTAGCACTGAATCCTGAATAGTCAAAAGCATGAATATTTTTTCAACAGTTTTAGCTTCCTTCTCCTTCTAATCTTATCTTCAAAATAGACTTTTAAATGCCTGAAAAAAGCACTAAGAAATTTTATATTTAAGGAAAAGTACACAAAGAGCCCCAAATCCAAAAATACTACCAGGCTAAGCCCCAAGACCTTGTCTACTTAAGGTCTTGAGGAAAAAAACAACTTTTTAATCTGCTAAAGTATAGGAGGATAATGCTTTTAAGTGAATTTAAGAAAAAAAAGCAATATTTTTATTTGCTCTTCTGCACCCACACAAGTTCTTACTCAGCAGCAAAGAACAGCAAACAGGTCTATATTCTCAGTGTGTACATCCTTGTGGGAAACAGTTACTGCTGAGTGTAAACAAGGAAGAGGCACCAGAGAACCCCATACGTAAAAACTAATCTGCAAGCTTGGACGGCACTCTGGAAAGCTCAGTATAAAGGAAAACCATTGTAAAATACAATTTTGTTTATGTTCAGAGACTAAAACATATATTCATTAGGGAAGATAACTCTGTACCTATAAGGAGAAAAAAGAATGAAAGATTAAACCTATTTTGGAGAAGTATCAGCACTGTTATTTCTTCTAAGTTAAATCTGGAGAGAAAGGTGCTCTCTTTTCCTGTATTTACTTTTAAGTTATTTTTGAACTTCTAAATCAGACAAACCATTTAAATTATCAATACTTTATTAAAGAGTACATTGTTTAAGCAAATGACTCAAATGCTTAAGTCTAGTACTGTTAAATCCTGAACAGGAAACTTTGAAGACCCTCGTGTGTTTGAACTCCAAGCTGTCACACAAGTCCACACGGAGTTAAGAGAATATGAATTCCCACTTGAAAAGAACTGCACAAGAAGATACAATTTTTCCCTTGCTTAAAGAAGAGAATCAGGAAAGACATCTGACATTCCCAGGAGTTTTTGAACAGTCTGCTTTCATGTTGTTTTATAAATATGGGGAAATATGTTAAAATATCTGACACATCCAAAAAAGGTTTGGTTAATTTACTTAATTCACTTACAGTGCTTCAACAGGATGCTACTCGCTCTCCACAAGAACAGTCTGACACTCCATGCAGCTACACCTATTATCCATCTCTATTAAAACTGTACCAGTCTCCGTGAAATTTGCCTTGTTTGTTCATTGGAATGTTTTACCAGAGGTTCTCATGGAATCAGAACTGGTCCACAATCTTTAGTTCAGTCACATTTCAGTGAGGTTTTATGAAAACATTTTTTCTTCAGTGTATACAAACCTGGAAACCCATGGAAATTTCACCATTTAGAAAGTTATTTTCAAAGCCAGTAAGTAACAAAAAGATTCAGGAACTTGCAGGCACTGGTAGCAGCGGCACTACCAGAGAGTGAGAGGAATGGTTTGGGATCAAAGTTCCATAGTGATACTGAACTGCAGCAGTGCAAGGCTCTACTCGTGGCTCCTGTAGTAATCTTCAATAGTTTCCGAGTTGAAGTACACCACAGTGACAGTGATGTCGTCCCTGTACATCCTGGCCAGGTCCTCGGGCAGGGTCAGCATGGCAGCCAGCTTCTCTGGGTCGACCTCGCCGTACTCGTTGCTGCCGATCGCGTGCCGGATCAGATGGGTGGCAGTGTTCTGGTCCAGGGAGGCCAGGCCTTTGCTCTTCCTCTGCAGCAACAAGTTGTGCATGTAGCCCAAATTAACTGGCTTCTTAAAAATCAGTGGTGGTTTCTGCATGTTGAGCTCTGTAAGGTGTCCAGCAACAAGTTTTACAACCTTCTCATTACTCAGCATCTCCCATAGCCCATCTGAAGCAATAACGAGAAACTTATCCTTGCTTCTTAACTTGTGGTATGTAACTTCAGGCTCTGCAGTTAAATAAGGGGGGGTGTGGTAGTTTGGAGGAACGTACTGATAAATGTTTAGAGCCTCAACATCACAGCTGTTCTCAAGAATGCTGTGTTGCAATTCCTTACTCCATTTCAATTGCACATCTCCAAAAGCTCTGGAGGGCATGAGAATCCCCAGTAATCTGTCATTCACAAATAGGGTTTTCTCCTCAGATCTAGGATGTTCTCGCTTCAATCTCCTAATTTCAAATTCATCATAGGCATTGTGGTCTCGGGTTAGAGGGAGAGTAGACCACGTTCCATCTTCTTCACGGACCCCTAAAACTGCTCTGCAATCACCGGTGTTTGCCACATGTAGGTGAACACCGTCAATGTGAGCTACACAGGCTGTGGCACCAGAAAAAGCTACTTGCAGGGCAATATTTCTCATCAACTCATTTTCCTGAGGAGCCTGAACTTCCAGAGATATGTCTGAGTCTAGCCTTTTGAATGCACAAATCATGGCTTCCTCCAAACTAAACCCCGGCTCAGTGTCCAGGTCCAGCAAGTGCTGCCAGTAAACGCGGAGGTTCTCAAAGTACTGCGAGGCGATTTCCTGGTACTCCACATCGTTGGGATGCTTGTGCCACTGCAGGATGGGCCGCACAGGTTTCATGGCCTCCACAGCCAGCTCGATCTCCTCCAGGCTCCGGCGGGGCATGAGGGACACGGCAATGTAGTGCAGCAGCCTCTCGCTCACGGCCTGGGCGCAGGCGGCGCCCGCGTGGCCGTCGAACACCCCGAACATCATCCCCGCCGTCTGCAGGCACGTGGCCGCGCTCCGCCGGTCCTCTATGGGGCTGTTGGAGGCCAGCTGGTTGCTTTCAAACCTCAGCACGGAATTCGCGTTCTTGCCATTCAAATCCAGTGTTCTGTGGGACAGTTCGCCTGCTCTGAGTATGTTGTTGATTTGTGCCGGAGACAGCTGGAAAGGAAAATGTTCTTCTTCGGTGGAAGTGTGCCGGAATGCTTTGGGAAAAGAGAAAATTCCGTCTAAGCTGCAGCTCCCAGCAGGGTAGGGACATGTTTTGGAGAAAATGAGCTTCCATTTTATCTTATTTCTATTTGGGATACAGATGGAGTACCAACGTCCTTTCCCTTGTAAAATAATGCTGCTTTTGGCTGAGTTTAAAATCCAGGATGATACAGTTCTTGACATCATAAGTCACTCCAAAACTGGAGCACCTTCCTTCAGTAACACGGAATTTCCTTGCAGCCTGAAATATAAAATGAGGAAAGGAAAAATAATTAGAAAGTTCATAAGAAGCTTTCCATATAGAAGTTTAAAAGCATATCTAAAGCTCTCAGAAACATTCAGAACTTCTTTCCAAAAGAGATTGCTATGCATAAAGGCATCTTAAAAGTGATACAATTTCCATCACTTAATTATAACCAAGGATACGACTGCTCCTTTTAACTCATCAGAAAAGAAAATTTTTACTTTCCAGACAGGGTTTTTTCCCTAACTGTGGCAAGAATAAGAAGAAATGGCAACATTACGAGAAACGGTATTGGAAACTGCACAAGGAAAAGCGTTGTCTAACATGACATAGAACAAACAAAACTGGGACTTAAAGTGACAATTATTGCACAACTCTCAAAAAAGCCTGCTAGAGTACAACTCTATTAATAGACTCAAAACTTCAAACCCAAGAGAAGATAAGTACTTAAACCCCATGGGAAGACTGAGAGATGTGGCCAGTTAATGATTTATGTGAATTACCATGATCCTCACAGCTAGAACAAGCCAGTCTACCTTTCCAATTCTGTTACAGCTTATAAGCTCAGCTGTTCTTTTTTTTTACCTTCAAGGTCTTAACCAACCCTCAGGCAGATATGATCTTTTACACAGCTGAAGGCAAATTCAACTGCTGGTTAATTAATGCTTTTTTTACAACATTGTGCACTCTGGTGCAGTGAAAGCTATAAGACATTGACAACTTTTACAGGTTCAAAATTTGGCTTGTTCATTTGCAAGGCAATTAGAACAAGCTGCGGGGAAGATCTCTGATGCCAACAGCACTGAAACCTCGGGCATTTCAGCAGCTGACGCTCTTCAGTTGTCATGGGGAAGGTCTTCACATTGTCTCCTGCTTTCAATAAGATATTCCAGCTGTGGGATAGTGCTAAGTACAAGCAGATGTTCACTCACGACAGAATTTTGCCCCATGGATTTAAAAAACCTCACTGTATGGCAGCACTACAGGTACAATTACTCCCAAAAGAATTCACTAGCAGCCACTGAGAACAAGAGAGTTCTCTGTGAGCTTTCAAACACTTTGAGGTGGCCTGTGACACCATTTGCTCAGGCTAAAAACGCTACATGCTGCTACAACACCAGTTTTTTAGCAGGGCGCTTCACAAGAAATAACAAGAAACCGGCCAGATCAGATGAGTGGAAATGTTTCCAAGAAATCAGCAGGACATAAAAGTCACCTTGAGCTATTCTAAACAGGCTTACTGATATAACCCAAGAACTGCTGAAATCCTGTTTGGAACCCAAAGCAATGTGTCACAAAACATTTCTGAAGTGTGCTACCCATGCTTAACGCAGAAAAGAGCAGACAAGCATTCCAACAGACCCCCACCACTATGATTCTGGCGACTTGGTGAGAACAGGCAAAGACACAGCATAATTTCACTGCTGATGTTAGGAGAGACTGCTCGCCTGCAGTCTCCTGGGACACTGCATCTCCCAACACACACAATGCCTTTTGTTATCCTACAGAAAGAACACAACCAAAATAATAAGAAGACAGCTGACACTACCAACTCCAGCAACAGCTAAACCCAAAAGCACCTACAGCACAAACTAAGCCAAGGTTTGTCAGCCTTTTTCAGTCCATTCACTGTTCCGTTTTCCTTCATTCTCTTCCTGCCCCTCTCAGCCACGCGAGATTGAAACAAGGATGACTTTTACATACTTGATCAAAAAGCGGATTGAAACAGTGTTTTAAAGAAACGTCCCCTGTTCGCAGCGGCTGGCTGACATTGCCAGGCAGTGTAGTTTTCCGCCCAGCAGCAGGGTCACTAACATCGGCTAGCCCGGCGCTTGCCTAAGGTCAGGTAGCGCTGACGAGCCCTGGAGCTCCTGCGTGCCAGCCCCGCTCACTGCGTTCCCATCCTCGGGGTCCTCCCCAGCCGCAGTGTGCAGACGGTGCTGCCCAGGACGCCCCCGGTGCCGGTGCTAATTAAAGCGGTGTGGGTAAAGACCATTATGTAAGAGCCAATTATTACATAAACTCACTCCCTCTCCAGCGCCGGCACTGCCTCCCCGGGGACGCGGTGTCCCCGCGGGGCCCGGGCCAAGCCCGGCCAGCCCGGCACGGCCGGCAGCTGCCGGAGCGCGCAGCGCACGCCGCCCGCTTTTCCCACTGAAACAACAGACACCCGTCACATTCGGCTTTACAGCCCCTCTGAGATCCCCACATTCCCCTCCCTCGTCCTCCGCACACTGCCCACACACATCCGGTACACACCGACCCCAGCCCCGCCGCCTCCGCACTGCCCCAGCCGCACACACCGGCACGCAGACCGGCCCCTGCTCCCCAGCACCCTGCTGCCCCGCACACACCCTCTGCTCCCGCACACCCGCCCCGCAGCCCGCACACAGCCCGTCCCCCGCACACACACCCCGCACCGCGCCGCAGCCCGTGTCCCGCACACTCCCACCTTCCCGCTTCCGCACAGCCGCGCCAGGCCCGGCTCCACTCCCTGCGCCCCGGCACGGCCGCCCCGGCGGTGGCCGCTCTCTGCCCGCCCCGTCCCCCGCCCCCGGCGCACCCAACAGCCGAGCAGCCGCCAGTCGAGGCCGGCGGCCCGCGCTGCCCCCGGCGGCTGAGGGACGGCGCTAACCGACAGCCGCGCCGCGAGTTCCCGTCAGGACACGGCGGGCGGGCGCCCCGCCCCTCCGCCATGTTGTGCCCTCGCCAGCGGCCCCGCCCCTCGCCCGCCCCGCTGAGGGGGCGCCGGGGCGGCCCTGGGTAGCCCGATAGCGACGGCAAAAAGGAAGCCACTGACACTGTTAGGAAGAAAAAGCACCAGCAGGGGTTTCTCCCTCATTAATAACATTTAAAACCACGCTGTGTCCTTGAGCGAGAAGCCCTAGGGCTTTTCGGATTTTTTTTTTCCCCACTACGACTCCACACCCTTCAGCGCTGAGGACCCCGGCTGATGAGGCTCAAAATCTCAAAGCTCTTTCGTAAATAACTCGCTATATAGATTATGGAGAACAAAAGGGCTCGTTTTGCTGGCTCCCCGGTTTTCTGGTTTCCTATGGCTGCTTGTCTCAGTTAACATTTCCACTGAGCGGCTCTAAGCCCGGTAACGAGGGGAAGGAATGGGCCCAAAGTGCACGGACGTTAATCAGTAGTTACTGATGTTAACGCAGTGGTTACTAAGTAGTCCCTTCTTTAAAACCTCTAACAATCATTTTCGCAAAAACAGAGATTCGCAAGTCACAAGATGCTTTGATACTATCAGCGCATTTTTAAATTTGACTAGCTTCTTGTAGTGAAGGATTTTTAGTTGAATAATGTGGTGCAAATATCTAGATGAGCTGAGCGTGTTCCCAGGTTACCTCATGGGGAAAGACGCCGATCATCTTCAATGACCCTGAGCTTTCACTTGTTTCTTCTTTTCATTGAAACAATGAAACAATAGTTTCATGTTGCGTGGAAGAGCATACAAAAAGAAAGAAGGTAATTTTAAGAAAAAATACCAGAACAATATTTTAACACATAAAAAAACCAAAACCAAAACAACCGACACTTTGACGTATCATTATTTTATCTGCCTGACAAATCTGAGCTGAAAGAGGCCACCCACAGCAACCCTTACTGTGAGAACCCCAACCTTGCTCTGGGGTCTCATATGGTGGTGAAATTCTTCTTCTAACTTGTGCTTCTAAAGAAAAACTCTGCAGCTTCTTGCTGTTTGGTCTCAAGGCAGTTTATTGTTAGTTATCTAAAAGATTGTCTTCTCGGGCTGCGGCTGTTTGGTCAGCGGCCTGGGTAGAGGCACACACACACACTGACATCCTCTCTATCTGCTGTCTTCTTCTTCTCTCCCCCCACCCAGGGCTGCTGCTATCTTTTATATGGTATATTACGTATTACATGTTTATAGTTTTCCCCTAATACCTACTACCTATATTACAAAGTGCTTTTCTACTCTAAATCAATCTGTGAGTGCTAACATCACCAAGAACATGGAGGCAAGGAAAAAGAAGGAGGAAGAACATGATCAGCCCACTTTCTTCTATCTTAGAACTTTTGACCCCCATGTATAAAGTAAATACCCCCCTGTACAATACTAAAAAAATTTCCCCTCTACTTTGTAACTACTTTTACTATGTTATCTAACCTTTTGTGACTGCTTGTTCTACCTCCAAAGTTGGTAATTCATTTCATGGCTCAAACTCAAAATCACAGCTGTTTTTCAGCTGCCTGCCAGAGTCTAAAATGCTTCTGACCAAGGCCTAGAACCTCTAAAAATGTCTAAGAGACATTTTGAGTTCCCACACCTTACCTGCATCTCTCTGCTCTGCCCAGTGCTCAGATATACTAACAGCACCTTAGAGATCTCCCTGGGGAATGTTCCCACCCTGAGGCTGCCGGAGTTCCGGAGCCTTTGGGCAGTGCTCCAGGGATGCACAGACTGGGATTGTTGGGGTGTCTGTGCAGGGACAGGAGCTGGATCTAATGATTCTTCCTTCTGCCCTACCAATTTTCAGCTTTTGTACTATTTAAAGTCTCACACAGCAGCCCAAAGACAAACCTGACTGCTCTGAGTTTCCTGTGCTCCCACCATGGTTAAATGCTTCTCTTCAGCTGAAAATTGTAACTTATTGCTCACATGTTCATGCAGTAATTTAATAAATTCACATGCATAAGCTGAAGTGACTTACGAACCATGTAAATGAAGGTGAAACAGTTAGCAGTCCTGCAGGAGATATCCCTTTCACTCCACGCTTTCTAAACACAAGAAGGAATCCCATATTGAAGGTACTTGACAGGGCTGAATATCTAATTGAGATTTCTGCTTTGGACTGTTTAATTATGCTGATGAACTAAGGTGATATGTAATTAAAGGGAAAAAATAGTAGAAATTCTGCTCTCTGATATAATCCGAGGAAAGAAATTGTATTGCTCAGGTTTGCAGTGGTTTTGTCGTTAGGAATAGCTAATAAAAATGGCAGATTTCTGTAGCAACAGTGCTTGGTTGCCATAGTGCTCTATGTTCTTAATTTGCATTGAAAAAATTAGAACTCTAGTTTCTTTAAATAAAATTCAGATTTGGTTTTGAGTTTGCTGATTATAGGTGAGCAAAGTTTAGTCCTGTGCCAGAAGAAAATCCTTACCTGTATTTATAAGAAAATTAGTCTAATTCCAGGTATTGTATTAAGGTGCAGCTATATGCTAAAATATATCCTATATTTAGACTTTTTTAAAGGAACAATCTTATCTGCAGCCTTGTACAGTCAGCAACTCTGGTTTTCTGTGGAAATACATTCTTGAACTAATTTCTGTGTTCTTGTTTAGGTCAGACTGCACTATTTGGGGTTTCCTTCTTTCCCAGGGAATATTATTTTTTCCCCTGCTTGTTTGTTTGGACAACTGATTGTGACTACTTTGGTGCAATTTAAATATCTTCTGCTTCCAGAGGCTGCAAACATCTGCCCCTCATCCACACTGCCTTCACAGCAGGTGCTAGCATGGATTACTTTCTGTGACCTCGTTGATATTCATGAAAAGTCTGTGACTCTTGATGCTTTATAAACATTTCTTGTTATGGGGACACACAAAGATCAGAAACACCAAATAAGCCAGATATACCTAAGAAAGCAAGTTAAAAATTGGACTAATATTTCTAACCAATAGCTAATCCTTTTGTCAAAAAGCTGACTAGCAGCAAAAATTTGAATCCAAAGAAAAGTAGTAAACTACTACTAAAAGTACTTTCCTATTTTTCAGAGGATTTTCTGCAATAGAGACTCAGCCTAGTGATACAGATTAGAAAACAGCAACAGATCCAAACCCTTTGGAAACTTCATGCAAAGGAAGGTGGGTCCTTTGAACGAACTGTCATCTCAGTGAACACAGACTGAGTTTTATGCTTTTTGCACAAAAAGCTCTAAAGTCTAATAACCAGCTTTTGGAAAGGAAACAGCACCAGCCCACAAAAAACCTTCCTGCTGAGCACCTTTAAGAATGTCCCCTGTTTGCTGGCTGTGTCTTGCCCTGTGAATAATGACATTTCATCTGCTGTATATGACATTTTGGATTTTCACAAAAGGCAAATTGGCACCACAGATGCAGAAATCTCTTATTATAAACACATAAACCCCACAAACAAATGGAGAAATGAAGGAGGATTTTAGAGAAACTGCACTTTCAAGTTTGGTTGCAGCTGTTTCCTGTCTGATCTTCCTAAGTAATCTAAACCAAACATGCAAATTCTAGGAAAGAAGGCAAGCTGCAAGCAACATAGATGCACAGAGGTAAACACCATGAACAATTAATTATAGGAAAGCTGCCATTCCAGCTTCATGTAGCCTCTCCTGTTGCAGCAGAGCTCAGCAGTGTCTGGAGTTGCAGGGGTTAATCTGAAGACCCAGTTTAAGTCAATGTAATTGCACTGGTGCAAAGGTCTTTCCAGTTGCTGTAATGGGATCTGAAGGCCACATGGATCATTTTTATTGGATGTTGCTTAAAATGGTTTTAGTTAAACAAACAAATGTTCATTAAGGTTCTGTGCCACTGTAAAAGTATTTTTACATTTCCTGGGGTCAGTTTTCAAGTCCAGGAAAGTCTTGTGTCTTGGGAAGAAATGCTCATGTGTAAAAAAGTGACTATATTCCTATCCTCTCTCTCCTCCTTCCAACTTCTTCTCCTCCAACAGACAAACAGGATGAGCTGGCTCCTAAATTCTATTTAATATTCCACTGTATCAATATGAAATTAAATTATTTGCATTACTACTTTGCTGTTCACAACCTGGATTAAAATGCTGAAACTTTACTAAATGTCAAATGCAGTGCAGGTAGCAGCATAAATGGAACATTAGAGGAGTGAAGGTTCCCTAACTTACAGCTCTGCAAGTCAGTCAGGTTCCATCTTCTGTTGTGCTTTCCTCAGGGTAAGTAAGAAAAAGCGTGAGAGCCCCACTCTCCCAGGCAAAGCAGAGAGAGTCCTTTGATGCACTGTTACTAAATGGTCACTTCTGCATGCAGAGGAATTCAGAGAGGAAATCAGCTACACTGAGGTATAACATAACACCCCATTTTCTTCAGGCTTATCTCTGGTTTTTCCTGAAATACTCCCTTTTTTATCTTTCTGACCTTTGAACTCTGCCAAAAGCACCATCTGGTGTTGAGGTACCTTGCAAAACCTTTTCCCAATTCTTGTATTTGGATTAATTTACCCTCATCATTAAACTTATCCTTATAAACCTGCTACATCATATCAACTGCATGATGGAGACTGACAAAAAATCTTTCTGCTTGCAAGAGATTGGGGGAAAACTCCAAAGTTGAACTGTAACTACAGCTATTAAAGTTTAAAAACTAAAGTTAAAAGAGTGTGCAGCTCATTAAGCAGAGGACCTCTCTGCTCAGCAGTGAAATGAGGAACAAAAAATTGTACCTGGTTTATGGAGTTTCTTTTGTCAGACTGATTTTTATCTGAGGGAGGAGTTTCAAGGGCTACATATGCAGAGCCAGCAAGGGGTTTTCAATGGCAATCACTTTACAAATTATTATTGTCAGAGTTAGATTCTCTCCTCTGTTGTATTTTGGCTGAATGGGCCTTAATTGTTTTAAGCACTGTGGCACAAAAGGGAAGGAGAGCCACTAGATGGCATTTTTAATTTAGCTTTTTACCACTGTGCAAGTTCAGTTGCTGTCCTAAATGTGAGGCCTCTCTCCTCTCAGTCAGGATGGTTGCAATCCCAGGAGAAGGTAGGTGAACTCTTGCTGGAATAATTACAGTCAAATCCCATTTTTCCTTCTACACAACAATTTGGTAAAAGGTAAGGATAGCTCACGTTTTAGAATTGTTCAGTCTCAAAATAAATGAAGTGCATTAAATAGCTGTTTATCCAATACAATAATTGTGGCTTTTATTGGACGATCAGGGTCTCAAGAAACAACAAAGGATATAAAAGTCTTTTATATTTTACTTCCCTGTGCTAAAAAATAGATCATGTTCTTCCATCCAACAACTGAAAAAAAAACCCCAATCCAAACAACCAACAAAACCTATAAGCAAAATCAAATTTATTTCTGCTGGAAGGTACAGTTCGGTTTCTTCTGGAACTGAACACCTTTGAGCAAGTAAGCATTTAACACTCTTTGCAATAACTGAGCTTTTACAATAACTGTGTAAGCTAAACATTATCCTTCTGCTGTTCATGAATAAACCATTTCAAAGAAACTTAAGTACTGTGTGCAAGGTCACAGCAGACATGTTCTGGGCATAAATAAACTTTTTTTAGATTGTGGGGTTGGAGTTGGGGAAAACTGGACAAAGTTTCAGTGCACAAGCCCTCTTTACCTCCTATGAGAGACTGACCTGCTCTGTGAACACCTGTACTAATATTAATGCAGCAGTGCTGGAATAGCTTGATTATGGTACATAAGGTAAATAATATTGGTTATCTTTTCATCAAAAGTATTTTTAATTTTCCCCTAATAATTTTTTTCTATCAAAATGTAAGTTTTTTTGAAAGACTTTTACATTTTAGAATGCATCTCTTAATGTAAATTTTAACAGTGAGATAAGTTTAATGATAATTGAACTCTAGGCAAGAAGTCATTCAAGGTATACAGTATGTTAGAACTTAAGTGAAAGGATTAAACTGAAATAGAAACTGTTAATCCCAGAAGATGGTAAGAACTGTGATATAGACTAAAAAGAGGTGTTAGAAATAATTTCTAGTATTTAAAAACATGTCCACAAACTTGGGAGGGATAACTCTTATCTGGACTCAGATCATTCCATAGTAGCTTAGGCAAAGTTTCTGTAGAACTGAAGATAAAGAGTCAAAGCATTCCTTGATCCCAAAAAGATGCACCTGTTGAAAACAAACATAATTTCTGTTGATGAAAATCCAAGAAAAATTATGCTGTAAGTAGGGAGAGGTGGGTCTTCTCAAAAAGGATGAAGATATGCACACATGATTTTAAAGTCTCATTTATTTAATTTGATAAAGAAATTAAGATACATTAAATAGTTTCTACAATACCAGTTTGCATTACTAGCGAAGTTCATAATACATTCATAATAGCTAAAACCATTGCATTTTGTAAGGATTTTCCATTGCCTTTAGCATCTCCTGGATAGGAATCCCACAGCTAAAACAATGCTGAATTAGCCCTCACAACAGCCCTGTGAGGTAGAGGTCAGTGTTACCCTCTTTCTACATAAGAGGAAACTGAGAAACAAAGTTTTAGGTCAGTGTACCAGAAAAACCCTGGAGATTTGAGGAGCAGAATTCCAGTTATTCACTCCTTGTACTGTGGTCCACACCTTGTGTCATCCTTCCCTGGAGAAAGGGGAGCAGCCACAGCAGCTGGTGTTCTCCCTTGTCCCCACTTTCATCCTTGGACATCCCGATTTCTCCATCTCAGCTGATGGAAAGTGATCAACATCAGCAATATCTACCTGAACCACACAGACAGAGCAGGCCATGTGAGGCCCAGAACTCAAGGAGCTGGGAATTGACTGTGGGTAGTCACAGAGAATATCACAGTATTGAGTACCAGAGTCAGAATTCTGTCACTAAGCTGCAGAACCAACACACGCCTGTTCTAAAGCAATTTTGCAGAGGCAAAAGGACTCAGGAGTGCTGAAGCCTTATGTGTGCAGGGAGCATCCCTGCCAGGCAGCCCTGGGGCAGGGAGGGTCTGTGCAGCAATGCACACTCAGGGCAGACAAGATCTACCCAAGTTAGGTCCCTAAAGGAAACAAAACACCTGCTCTCTGTAGGGCAGACACTGAAGGAGGTCATATTGCAGAGCATAGCAGTGAGCTGAGGTAGAATCTGAGCAACTGAGGAACACAAAACACACCTGGATCGCTACAGAGGAACTCTTCAACCAAACTGACCCTGACCAGGGCACAGTAGTCCTGTGTTCTGCATGGGCTGAAGGGACAAATACCTAAATAACACTGCAGTAAACTGCTCTGCTTTTCAACACAGCATTACATTGTAAGATAGCATCTTAGAACACTAGATTTAAAATATATATTTAATTTTCATACCAGGGCCTA